GGTACCACTCCCATACCCCACCACCATGGGGAAGCTAATTTTTAAATCCCTTTAATGCCCAACCCGTGAGGCACTGATGAAAAATCATGGATTTCTCGGCCCAAACTGTCTCGGAGCAGCTAGGAATGCCTGGCTACGCAGGCTAGAAAAATCACCAAAAGTTGTCAGAGGGTGGGGATCGGAAGAGGGGACATATAAAACAAAAGCAACGATCTTTATCTTGTTCCAGCGCGCGCTCTGACATTAYAGAATTCCAGTATTCCGAGCGATAAAAAGGTAGCCAGCTGTATTTCATACAACAAGAAAACAATAGATAGGAGACGTAGATAGGAGTGTAGACGTTATATGTTCTGCACTTGCATCCACAATGCAACTCGTCGAGTGCCTGAACAGTAGTAAATATTTTTGTTGTTGCTAAAAGTAACGCGGGTTTCGTCCAGCGTAAGAGAACGATTGTGGTACCGTCATCTATATAAAAGAACTCATGGATCGGCACTAAATTGGCTAGCACCTTATGTAAGCTTACCTATTCTATAAAGCTCGAATGTTATAACAAAAAAAGCATTCCATAGAAGGTTTGAATTCGGTGCATTCTTAACACTTTTAATCAGGCTGAAAATAGGAGTTAAGGTCATCGTGTGGCCTAGCTTTAGGGGCAAGCATTTTGGCAACCACACAGCAGGAGATCGTTCCAGTGTCACGTATTTGACGATCTCGATCCATGAGCCAACAGTGCTCGAAGGAATTGGTTGAAAATCACGTTTTAATCTCAGCGGCAACACAAGGAATGTGACCATGTCATTCAAGTCTTTTTATCCCATTCTATCCGGTAAGTTTTCTTACACGGTAAGTTTTCTTACACTGCAAGGAATATTAGTCTATGGATTATAACAGAGCAAAGAATGGTTTGGCAGCAGTCCAGATCAGCCACAAGGTAACTTTAAAAAGTTCTTGGGTCGTACTCTCGAGTCGTGACAAAAAAAAAAAAAAATGAAAATCCGGCCACTAGATAATGTACCAACCCTTTACCCAAGTTGACTTCGGGACTCAAGAGTACAACGCCAGAGATCCAACCGGAACGTAGTAGGAGATCCATAATACTGTACAAAGGTCATGCGTGTGTATTTCTCGTCTCTGTTTCATCAACTATTATTCAGTTTTTCATCATATTTTCTAATTATAATAAATAAGAACAATGAATACAAGTAATATTTTATTCCCTGTTGTAAATGTATGTCTAAACGTTAATTTCAAAAAGGAAGCGATTAGATGATCATACAGTGAAGACAGCTATGACTTTGTTCGTGAGTAACTCCGCTGACCGTTACAAAATCCGAGTTTAACCACCGTTTACGCTTGTAATCGTTTCCCATATGCATTGTTTTGTCGATTTTCCTTACTTTTACAGAGGTAGAGGTATAAGTGCTTCCTATTCTTAGTTGGGGTGGCTTTTCCTTTATATCGTAGCCTGAATATCAGGCTCTCTGAAGGGGATTGGGTGTTGGTTGACAGAGGTCATGCAGCAGAGGTCACCTAGCCTTCTCCCTCTCCGGTGTAGTCATAATCCCGGCGTTGTGAATATAGCACCGGTGGTATCCAACAAACCGCCTCTGTAAGGTCAGCATCCACTCATTCTCTACCAAAAATGGCTGCTTCAATACTGAGAGGCTTGAGGAAGACGAAATTGTGTCAAGTACGAGGAMTAGCTACGAGCATGGCAACGGCCAAAAAGTTGAATTTTCCTCTGTCACCGAATGAAATGCCAAGGTCTGGTGGAATTGCCACCATGATGAGGTTGCCATTGGAGAAGACAGCTAATGGACTCGATGCTTGCTTTGTTGGAGTTCCTTTCGATTCTGGGGCATCAAACAGAGTAGGAACAAGGTATTTGCATCTCACTCGTTAGTTAGGGTCACGTGGCCAGAGACGTAAGTTACTTTGCGTGATAGCAGCTTTACCATCATCTTTTTGAATGACTGAAAAGATGAAAGAGGCTAATATTCAGAATATACATCAGAGTTTAGCTGGTTTGCAAACTAAATTAGTCAAATTAGTGTGAAATCCTTTGTCTTCTATTGTTTTATTTTTTTTCTTACAAAATGTTCACTCATCAGGGACCGCGGAGCAGGGGGGGGACTACAGCCCCCCCCCCATAATTTTTCTGCCATTTTGAATTTTCTTAAATAAAGAAGTGTAAAATTTCACCATATATATTCTATAAAAATTGTGTAAAAACTGAGTGTTAATTAAAATTGAAGATTTTTGGCCAAGTCTTTGGGATTTTATTGAATATCGTGTGACTGTGTGAGCGGTTTTAGCCAATCATCTTCTGGTTGGCACGAATAACAAAGGCTTATGTCACATTGAGTATCATTACTGCCTCGAAAAAGCTTTTTGTCATTCTGGTTTTACTATTCAAAATTCTTATTGCCATTCAAGCTGCCTGGTTAAAACCAAAAAGACACTACAAAGTTACACTACATTTGCATATATATTACATTTATAAATTTATATTCTTTTGGGCATATAGTTTGATAAATCTTCTCGTAATCCTCTTCGTATTTATAAATTTGAAAGAAGTAAATTTTATATCAAATATAATATGTGTTGTTTATAAAACGAGAGTGCGTGTTTTATCGGGATATATAGATTCGAGCCTCAGGCAAAGTCTAGAACTCCAACATCCAGAAATTGTTATCAGTTTAGGAAAAACCTAAAAAATGCAAAAACAGTGATAATGTATATTGAACTTCTAATGAGCATGTGCATTGTGCCACAATTGAAAGAATTTTGATCCCACACAGACGAATGGTTAGTCTATGGTTAAGTACATGTCTGCACATTGATTCAAACCGATTTAAAACCTAGCAAAGGTCTATGATGCGACATTGGGTTGCGATAAAGTGCTAATRACCTTGAACTTTCAGTTTATGATTAATAAACATCAGTGCTTTATYGGGACCCAATAGTTCAATGTTCATTGGACTAATAGCTCATGAATTATTAATGAGTTCTAGAATATTATATATATTTATTAGTGTGAGCAAAATACTAAGTTAGAGGGAAATAATTTTTCACACAGCTTTGGTGAACTAAGTCATTAAGCATTTTATCAAATGATCCAATTAAAAAGAACCAGAAAATTGACATAACAAAAATCAAAGCATTGTTTAAGCAAGATGAAAAGTAAAGGAAGTTTACTGTCAGTTAAAAGCTCTACAAAATATAGCCTTAACATACTGTTTGTCCAACACATGATGATGTTCAATAAAGTTAAAAAATCAACCAATATCAATGAGGAAGTAAAGGGCTAAAAGCTGGAGATTAACAATCTGTGTTTTCTTTGGTACTGTGGTGGCTGCAAAGTAAAATGTTATATGTATYTTTAAGGTTTGGACCACGTCAAATAAGACATGAATCATCCATGTTACGTCCTTACAATCCTGCGACTGGTGCTGCGCCRTTTGAGTCATTGATGGTGGCTGATATTGGTGATATATCTGTGAATACATACAATATCAAGCATTCCATGGAACTGATTGAAGATAAAATCAGTGAAATCCTTCAGGAGGGGTGCACGCCACTTGTCTTAGGAGGCTGCCACACCATTACTTATGGAATTTTAAAAGCAATGAAGGTATGTTTTTACAAAATAATTGCTAAACAACTACTTCTGTTGTGTTGATAAACCAGGATACAAATAATACAAGTGTTACATTTTTGCATGTATCTTTGATGTTCCACAGTTTTGCCATATAATAATGCACCTATCAATGTTAAGGTCCCACCAGCTAGGTTTGGAGATTAGACGTGCTACTACTGCCCCAGGGTCAGGCATTTGTCTATTATTAGTGCCCCAGGGTGGGGATATTGGGCTACCTGTGTAAATAGAGAGCTCAGGAAACATTGCACTACGCATGTGCACAATCAGACAATTTTACAGGCCCATTTCAGCGAAGTACAGGTTAATCGTTTTTAGTGATTTTACTCTGGAACAGGGTATCGATTTCAACAAATTTTCTCTGGAACAGGGTCAGGGTTTAAATCCGGAATTTGAATATTGACGCTGCGTAAAAATTCATGGGGTAAAAATTCGGTCTACATGCAGGCTAGTGCATGCTGTATTTTACTCTGGAACAGGGTATCGTTTTCAGTGATTTTACTCTGGAACAGGGTTTTGAGGTCCCAGCGATTTTACTCTGGAACAGGGTCAGGGTTTTGAGGTCCCAGTGGCACCCCCCCACACCCAATTTGACAGAAAAGCCTAATCCCCACTCCTGGCCCACCCCCAGGTGGGGTCCTAACATTGATAGGTGCATAACGTTTAGCACAATATAGAAGGTTTAGCACATAACAAAATATGTAGCTAGGAAAATCTTGCCATGTTTGGCAGAATTGGATAGATAACATTAGGATTAATGGAATACATGCAAAATAATGTCTCTAGTATCCCCTCTTGCTTGATTACAGATCAAAAATCTCATTATGTTATGCATATAGTGTTTATCAGATATAAAGATTTGAGATCTTGAGTGTTTTAAATGGCTTCAAAAAAAACCTGACACAAATTTAAAACTCAAACTGAGTCATTGAGATTAAGATTATTCATTTGTCATTTATCCCACTGTAATTAGTGTTTTTAATTTTTTAAGACATTGGCGTCCGTGTTGTATGGGAATTTCAATTATTGTACAATTATTGTAATTCCACAAAACAGTTGCTATGGTGTAAACTACATGCATGTGACCAAATAGACCAATCCAATTGGCCTAATAGCTCATTTATTAAGAGGGAATTTTTATATGCAATTTTTCAGGCTAAGTATGGACCTGTTGGGATGATTCATGTTGATGCTCATTCAGATACAAGTCCAGCTATGTATGGCGAACCTATTTATCATGGAAGTCCATTTTACCTGGCTGTGGAGGAAGGATTATTGGACTGCGAGAGAGTTGTTCAGATTGGTTTGAGAGGCCCGTGGTATGATGGCTCTGTTTATCATTATCCAAAGGAAAAGGTAAAAACTGTGTGTTTTCAAAGATTTAGATATTGTATATGTGCACACATTTTATTTATTAGTTCAGAATTGCAATCTAGCAGAAACACACAAAACACAAAATAAATCTTAAAATAATCTTAAAACTGAACCCTTCTAGMAAGTCATTTCGTTCGAAAGAGAACATTATCCTAAGCACTTCTGCAAAGGGAAAAAACATTCAAATTTATATCTTTTGATTTAGAAATATTTGAAAATCGGAAATGAAAATTAAGTGACGTCTACTAAGGAATGATTTGATATTCAAAATCATGATAAAAATACATTTCTAAGAGATGACTTTTCCAGCTCTTGAATATTACTGTTATTGATGATTTGACCATTTCAACCGAATGCAAGATATCGCAAACAATGAAAAACCTCCAGCCCAATTCCTTGATTGACGTCACTTCRTTAGCATTTTCAATTTTCAAATTTCTTTAACTAAGAAAATAAAATTCAAACAATTTTTTTTCCTCAAGGCAATGATTAGCATCATATTTGCCTTTTGTTAAAAATGATTTTCTAAAAGTTTAGAGTTCCGTTGCACTTTAAAGATCTTCACTACCTGTGCATACTAGGCATTTTGTGAGAYGTTTACTAACCTCCTGTCAGGTTGGTCAGCAGTTTGACCTCCTGGCTTGGCCTTATTCATACTCCGTTTGACCTATTAAGCAATAGGTGCTCTGACTTATTGCATTTGTATTTAGTTTAAATGAGAGTCACATAAGATTGTAAACAATTAAGTCATTTGTACATATAAGCAGATCTTCACAAAAGAAAATCAACGGTTCTGACTGGAGGTGAATGAGGCTTTGATTTGATTGGTTCAAAGATTCCCATGCACCATCAGCATGCATTCTAGATCTTCCAGTATTGTCTCAAACCAGAGCCTTTGATTTGGAAAACTGAAAAGGATCTGGGTACGAGAATGGTAATTTGTATTGATTTCCAGAGTACATAACATTCAAGTGCAATCAAATGTTTTATATATTTCACATTGCCGTTCACATCAAGATTGAAGTCTCTTGTCTGACGATTGACTGTTTTAGTTCTGCAAAATATCCAGTATTACCAACTATAATATGAAAAATATCAATCTAGACAAAATATCTTCATTGGTTCTGATATTGGACCATGTTTAGTTATCAGCTCTGTTCCATTACCCCATCCAAAAAATTCTAAAAACATGAAATTCTGTCATAACTGCCGCTAAATAAAGTACGACTGCGGGAACAATGGAACTCCCGGGTGGTTTGATTTGTGTGTAAACGCCTAATAGCAACGTGTTATTCGACTAAAATCAATACGTCACTTCTCATCGCCGTAGGGCTTCAAAGTTGTCCCTGCAAATGAATGCTGGCACAAGTCTCTTGAGCCTTTAATGCAAGAGGTACGTCAACAGATGGGAAGTGGCCCTGTCTACATCAGCTTTGATATCGATGGTCTTGACCCTGCCTTTGCACCGGGAACAGGTAAGGAACCCAGTTCCTCTACATTCAGTCAATATACACTCTGATATCACTGTTTATCACCTTTAGGAACACCAGAAGTAGGAGGACTGACAAGTATCCAAGGATTAGAGATTATTCGTGGTTGTCAGGGATTACATATAGTTGGAGGCGACCTTGTGGAGGTAAGAGTCAATCAAAAGACGCACTTCGATCATATACATGAGTACTGACAGGTTGGAGTTGTGTAATTATATCTATGAGTTTTAATTCTCAATAATCACACGTATTCCAGTTTCTTGATCAAAATTGTATTTATTTTTTACTATGAAAGCAACTTTTTCTTCCCGAGCCACCAGCCATCAGTCGAATTTGAGGTGGACTGTGAACGGTTATTTCACCATTTTAAGTCCGGCGAAAAAGCCGACTCCTTTTTCTACCATTAAATTATACAAAAAATTAAACACCACCTATGATCTGTTGTTTGTTAAATCAATGCGACTTCAACCATACCGGATTGTTTTTGTTTAGTTTAATTAGCTGATAGATGAAAAGTTGACGCAAAGTGTGTTTTTCAACACTTGCTTTTTTATAAGATTTTACTAAGTAATGGTTGTTATTAATTCTCATCTGTTTTCCTAGGTTTCTCCTCCTTACGATCCCCTAGGAACAACAGCATTACACGGGGCRAACCTGTTGTTTGAAATGCTTTGCGTTTTGCCAGGGGTGAAACACTCCCAAAACTAAAAAAACATATGTTTCAGACTGTTAGTGTCACTCAATGATTTTTTTAAATGTAAGATAGATAAGTATTATCAAACTCGAAATTGAATGTAGGATACAGTTATTAAAATTAATAGTTGAATATGATTTGACAATGAAAGACTACGATTTTTTTTCAACTTCTTATGAGGGTTAGGGGTGCCGATAGGAAAGTCATATTATGCATCATTAATATGATCGTCTGAAATTTGAAATATTCCATCACAAAGCGAATTAGAAGTGAAATTGGACGAAGTGTAAGGTCATAGATACAAATTTATGAAATGTTGCATTATTTCGTTTAATGTTTTCTACTCCATTCACGGTATCAAGCAATACAAACTGTGCAACAGTTTCCGGCAGCTGGGTCGTCTACAGCCTTAGGAATTTTGTAATCAAGCTAGTATTTCTTAAAAGTCATTTGCGTTTTTRTATTTTTCGTTTTTGATTCATTTTACATTTCAACTGAGTTTATAGTTTGAAATTATTGGCTGTGAGTTTGGTGGTCGCAGTAACTATGCAGGTTTCTTTGTCCGACAATTTCACGGGTAAAGAGCAAAAGTAAACATGCCATCCAGAAGTGCCGTTAATGAAGATCTAATGATTCCTTCTCAACAATTTATAAAAGTAAAACAACTGTTAAATCACAAGAAGAATATMTAAATTCTCATCAAATCGCCGAAGGGACTTTAGACTCCACATGTTTAACCGCAGGTGAAGCAGGTCACTGATGGGGTGATTAATTTTATTTGTGTGTAAAATGCAAACAAATACTAGTCTTTAATAGTAGCTTAAAACTTGACTATAATCCGCAAATATATGTCAATCAAGAAGTTTTTCACTTACTGCTGTTATATGTAATCATCTGCCAATTCATTTATAAAAAATCTTTTAATAAATATATATATATATGTCTTGAAGTTTTTATTGGCACTAGCTCCTTTTTAACGACCCATATTTCGAAATATATTTTAAATGTTTTATTCGATCCTTGAAGTATATATTTTTTGTTTACAAATATCAATCGTTAGCGTGACTGAAAGGCCTCGAAAATCGATGTTAACCTCGAAACAAATCATTATAACGATTTTTTAGTAGAAACATGTAAGTTTTGTCCCCTTGCACTCTCCTGCGTTTTTTTAGCATTTCTGGAAAGTTGCATCACTAAAAAACGTAAAGAAGGCAAAAAAAAGAAAAACAATTGGATCCCGGAGGCTGATTAAGTGGACAGTATAAGGATTTTTAAGCATTTTTACGCTAGTGACATAGGTGGSTCTATCCGGTCAGTAGTGGCGTGCCATGGTCGAATCATGGCTTAGAAAATTTAGCATATCTTTGTTTCTGAACCGTGTCCTAGGTTTCTTTAGTTATTCAAACAGCTATTCGCAGTCATAATATATTCCATTTTCTCATTATGCAAATAAACTAGAATCGTCAACATCAAATTTGGTTTTCGTACCAACGAGCTTTGGTTCAATTTTTTCGAGTTTTGTGCTCTGTAATATTTTTCTATAAACGTTGCTGTTATGAACTGCTTGTTATTACAATGAAAACATGGCGTGTACAATTCAATCATGTGTGACGCAGGCGGAGTTTAGAATCGCCGGCGGACTTATTGATTTGTTTTTCGCTTTCACTCTTTGAGGGAAAAGTTTGGTGCATTTATTAGAGTTTGGTGTTTTATATAAAGCGGATTTAAAAAGAAATTATACAGTATTATGAAAAATAGTGTTTATCGGCACTAAAGCCATGCCACTTGCTTGAAACGTCATCTAACTATCTTCGCTTCACTGACTTGGTACCTGAATTAAAAGCACCGAAAATCTTCAAAAAGCCCTAACTATTAATTTAGTTACATTTCAATTGTGTAAAAAAAAGTCACAACTTCAGGATTTTTTTCAATCCGTTCGGGACTTCACAAAATTCGATTTGAACTTTCAACGTGGGGTTCCTGTGTTGGTCGATTGAGACATCGATCCAGACGTCTGAAAATGGGTTTCCTGTGTGTCTGATTGAGTCCAGTACAAGTAAACCGTACTTCTTCCTCTCTGTCAAACAATTAAAAACAATGTGAAGGGAAAGACCAGAAATTCCTTCCTTCTTTACTAAATTCAAGGTAGGTCATACATAGGGTCTTTCCTCTATATTATCTAGCAATGYTCATACAGTTTTTCAAATGATATTTCACGCGAACGGACGCCGTCTGCAGCTACGTTGCGGCGTTCAAGGTTATTTTTAATATGGATTTGTTGTGTGTACTGAGATAGTACACCACATTGTTTTCCTTCTTATGATACGAAGAGTTTTCTAGAGTTTCGTGTTCGACAAATGCCATGAATTGTATTTTCAGGCAAATCCATAGACGGCACATCCGTGGAGCAGGAGATAATGTCGAAAGCGTAATTTGTATAGCCTTGCTCCCTGCATTGAGTCGCGCTCAAGAATTGGAGTTTGTCTTTTTCTCGTGACTATTACTCTGAAATGAATTCTTTTACTCCTGATGTGTTTACTAGAAGAGCTAAAAAGCTGCATAATTTTAGCTTCGTAAAACCTTTTTGATTAATGTTGTTTGAGAAAATTTTATGTCTTGTCCAGTCATCCATATTCATCGACTCATGTCTGGTATTTCATGACCAAACCACAATGTCTTGTTTTATCATCAGCTGCTCTAGTTCGATCAAAAAAAAAACCTCTGGACTTGTGGGTTTTTGAACGTGTCTGGCAAACGTATTGAAGTGTATTAACATTTTTTATTGAATTTTTATTCGAATTATTTCTATTATTTTTAAATCGACAAGTATTATTTATTCTAGTTGAGGGATTTTCGCCAGACATTTCGATTTTTAATTTATTTAATTGGTCCAACCTAAAGATAGGACTTCAAATTAGATTGTAAGACCATTATCATAGAAAAAATCGTAAGTAGAAATGCTTTAAATTGAAGATCTTTTTTCTTGGACATGACATATTGTATCATTTTTTTAGGTTAAATATAAGTAAATAGGGAGTTTATTCTAGTTTGTTAACCTATTTACCAGTAGGAACACTTATTAAGTAAAAAAACACGTTTACATTTACATGAAAATATTCCTTGTTATTATCCAAAGTTCATGTACCTCAATACCAGGCCTCATATTGAACCTAGCTACTTAATTGTCTCTGTAAATGGTTTGGTATTTGTCTCAAAAAAAATAAAAGGGAAGCTGTGCAGACAATGCTCATGCAAGCAATCCCTGATGTTTCTTTATAGTACCTCTTCAACTGTAATTTATTTTCTAGATTCATGCACAGAATGAATTTACCTGCTTGCTTGAAAGGATGCACTTGCGAACGAGAAGCATTTAATAACTGCAAAGGACATTTGGATTACAGTCCAATGCAGCACAAATCCATCATGTCAATGACCAACTTAAGACAGATGATGCCACCAAGTAAAGTCCTACCAGGTGAGTTGTTGATTTCTTATATTCTAACTGGTAATTGCTATAATTATAATCGAGAAGAAATTTCTTCATAATAATGAAAAGGAAATTAAAGTATTTCTTGTGTGGCAATAATGCATGTCAACTAATATTATAGTATATTCAAGACCAGTTTGAACTAGAGGAACTAATAGAACTGAGATGTTCTTTTATTATTATGTGAATAGTATTATGTGAAATTAATCATTGTGACTTGCATGTATTGTGCTGTAAATTGAATATTTCACTTGTTCCTTATTTATTTAGACATGTTGTTCTTTGAAGATTCCAGAGAAAGAGGTTATGACTGCAGAGAATGTGAAAGAGTGTTCAAATCAGAGGAGCTACTGCAAAAGCACCTCAGAAACCATTCAGAAAATCGTCCTCACAAATGTCCCCACTGTCCCAAAGGCTTCAAACAACCAAGTCACCTGAGCCAGCACTTGAGAACACACTCAGACGAACGTCCATTCATATGTACGGTTTGCAGTAAGGCATTCAAGCAGTCGTGCCAACTAAAACAGCACATGCGATTGCACACTGGAGAGAAACCTTACAAATGCCCTCAGTGTGACCGTGGCTTCAAACAAGCAAGTCAACTCAATCAGCACTTCAGGCTTCACACTGGAGAAAAGCCATACAAGTGCATGGTGTGTTACAAAGCATTCACCCAAGCCAGCCAACTCAGATCACATAAGAAGACACACGAGCCAAAACCTCAACGAAAGGCAACTACTTATAATAACAAGACAGCCAGTTACAAAACCAAATTGCTTCATCCTACGCAGACCTTAACCAGTACAATGTCTTGTTCAACTGCACCACCTACACCAAGAAACATGTTTTATTCCTCAACTCGGCTTGGTTCATCGTTTAGTCTAAAAGATATTGATCTACCAACTGAAGACTCCATACATGTTGTGCAACTGCCAGTCACCCATCTGGGTTTGCCATACTCAAGCTGAATTGATCTACAAACACTAATAGATTTAAGTTAAGTTAAAATGATTGTTGATAGGTAGAATTGACTAAACACACTGTATCTTGCTTTAACCAAGTCAGTGTGTGACTGTGTAGTTGCTAAAGATATTTTTTGTTAAGGTGGCTGCAATTGCTTCATTTATAAACATGCAGTGTTTGGCTGCTATTTACCTCACAGTAATACTTGGTTTTCATATGAGGCACTCTCCAGTCCATCTGCTGTGCTAGAAGGCCTCTAAGTATCGTTTTAATCTGTTTCTAAACACTGAAAGAATCTCAATTTTTCTGGTGTGTTTCAGTTGTTTCAATTTTTCTATCGAGATTTTTTGGGTTGCAAATAGTCAACAAAATAGACGTCAATTCACTCTGATTAAATACGACTTATATAACTTGATAACCTGTTGGATTAAGCTACTAGAACCGAAAAAAAGAGCAAGTAGTTTTTAAATAGTATTATAGTGTTGTAAATAGATGTGGTTGTAGATTTAATATGTGGTCGATCTATCAAAAAAGTCAAACAAGGTTTGAAAATTAATGTGAAAATAGTGAATTAAATTTGGGCAATTTTGACCACATTATTTTAGACATCTTGTAAAACAAGATAAGCTTTCTAATAAAGAAAGTACGTAACACAACGTTGCTGTCTTTCGTTATTTCAGTGGTTATTGTTCATAGAAAAACCTCCACATTCGTGTTTATTTGTTTCTTTGTTGATTTAATTTGTTTTAAAATAAAACTACAGGTTCTGAAATATTTTTGATAATCGTGATTGTACTAAATGCTTTTGCCCTCGTTTACTCAATTTCTTTGACTTGACTGTAAATGAATTTGTGTTTTAGAAGAAGCGTATCAGTTCGCGTTTGGATCTCCAGCTTTCTCTCTTAATGCGAAACTTATTATGCTCGACCATTGTCTGGAGTTTATGCTAATCGYACAGGGCCCTCAGGCTTACTTCCTCTGCAACACACACGCAATGACTTACCCAGAAAACGGACTTGACCCTCTGTTCTATTAATCTCACCCGAAAAAAGCTACTTCAAAATATYCCTAGTTTCAACTTGTGTATGATATTTAACTTTGAAAGTTRAAGGCGAGAGTAAATATGTAAAAAACAAGGACGAACAATAACTTCAATGTCGTTAATAATTGAAGCCTAAAAGGAGAATGAGGTAGAACAATTTCGTCGAGCCAGGCCAGTCTTGACTAGGACACAATGTTTTTTCTGTACGGCGTTGTATGTTTGGTTTTGATTGATGTGAAATATTTTTAGTTCKAGTCGTAGGAGTGTTATTGAAAAAATATTTTTACTGAAATGACTATGAATGCACCGCGGGTACCGAAGCTTTTTGTTAAAACATTGCTCCATAACAGTCACCCTCATGAAAAACTCTTGAATGCATGTTGATTTATTCTAATATTTCACTCCTTTCTCTTACTTTTAAGCAWTAATTGTAAACTTTTATCATAGTAATATACTTCCTCTGAAGGACCATCTTTTTTTTTCTGCGRAATCAGATGGCTCACCGAAAGAGGAAGACAAGAAAAAGTAATGATATGGATTTTGCGGGTCGATTTTGAGAAAGTATCAGGTATTATCAATATCAAGAGAAGTAAAACAAAGATAGAAATCGTATTTATTTTTGTTTTCATGTTTTTTCAAGACATCTAGTGTCATGGCGTCTAGTTTAATACTATCAACGGCTTGTTGAACGAATAAAACCCAGTAGACAGTCTTTCAGCAAGGGTATGGTATAACACCTTTCAGGCCACCAGTTTCCAGTACAGTAATATTATTATTCTTCGATCAACGCCTACACGATTGCAGTCTTTTTTCTTTGCCGGTAGCTGGTTAAGAAAATGTTTTCATAACGTGGTTAGCATCCTTTTCTTAAAAATAGTATGTCGGCAATTTTAATTAAACTGCTGTYCCCAGTATAGAGGGTATGTTTTCGGGAAGATGTAATTCCCTTTGGTATACACCAGTAACCCAGATGATATTATTGAAGCTTTTTTGAATAAAATTGTTACATCGTCACTTCTACATTTCATTCAAAAGAACCGTTTTCTTTTTGAATGTTCCACCGAAAAAGGCTAACAAAATGATATGCTATTTCATCAAAGAAACCTGTTGATGGCACAATGATGTCGGTCGGTAATGTCGGCACGAGGTCGTTTACGCGTGGATACTGGTTCAAACAAATGGCTCGTGAAACTAAAAGTCACCCCTAACTACGCGTGTTTCATAATTCAGAACTTGAAGTATTGCCATAGTTGTGTAATAGTCTACAAACTATGCATTCAGGAAGMGACGAAAGCTAGTCTTTTTACTGACATGAAGGTGTCTTGTACACTTTAGAATGTTGTATTTTTTAATTTGTGACAAAATGGAAAACTTGAAAAGATCAAATGAATAAACAATTACAAAACTAAACGTCCATATTTTTTACATCAGAGCTTTGATTGCAGTACTTATTAACTGTAAGCCATTCTTATTCGATCGATTTGAATTGAAAAAAGAAGAGAGATACATTTTGTAAATTTTTTCATGACGTAAAGCTGTGCACATGAGTGATACGATACAATATGGTAAATTCGCTTTTCTTTAAATGAGTATATAGTTGACTTACATGTAGATGTAGTTATCAGTAGTATTTGCTTTACGTGCCACAAACAGAGAATCACAGTTTGTAATTGCTAAAAAGTGTACCTGTATTGTGGCAATGATGATATGTTTTGTATGTATATGTGTTGTAATGTTGCAGTATTGCGGACAAATCATTACTGTTGAACATAGTTAAATTGGTAATGTGTTGTCAACATAAGCTCTAAATATGTCAAAACTAAAACTATAGGATTTAAGAAAACATTTTGTTGGTCATACTGAAATAACCAATTTGTAAGGTGACAAAAGCGAGAAAAAAACGTTATTTGGTGTAATTAAGAAAGCCTGGCTTGTTTTTAGAATTCATTGTGCCGGCATCAGTTTATTCACTCCCACTGAACGTGGAATGCGTTGAAAATCTTTCAAGCAAAAGAGCTTAAAATAATTAATACGACAAAATACAGCACTTATACATAATTCATATACCTGATAAACACTATCATAATTACTRCATATGGACTGAACAAGAAACTCTAAAATGAGAGAGAACTACTCAATCTCAATTTTACTATGATGATAGAAATCAAAATTGTAATGACATTTAGTGGTGTAAGCACCGCACTGTACTCTCTTCTACCTGCCAAACCCCCAACCTAGATCTAAAAGACAGTGTGACGGTTCTTTCAACCGTGTCTTTTTAGCCTGTAGGCTAATTATGATCATGCTATGTTATGATAAAAAGGCAGAATGAGTGACATTATATTAGTATAGCAAACTATTCCGTTGTTTTACAGTATAACCTTTTAAATGACATGTTACACTGAACCAAGCAAGATGTTGTCCGATTTGTTGCATAGTCGGGGCGGGTAGAAAACATCGCGGTATCGCCGATTATAAATAGTCGTCTATCTCCTTTTGTTTGAAGCCGGTTTACGACTTTATAGGTCGTTGATTATGCCAGGTGATGTTAATACTAGCTACATRCACATCAATCCGAGAAGCCTCTAAATGCCATCAATTTTCTTCATTACCCATAGAATAATGAATTACGTTAAACTGATATAGAACCAGTATAGTTTTGTTCTGAAAATATTGAAATAAACACTGTAAAAAGGGTATTCATAATTATTGTCTCAATTATTATTGACCTAGAACATTTTTAGTAAAGAAATATATATGTATATACTGATCATTGAATAAAATTGAATTGCTTGGTTGATTTAAGACGAGTTAGCTAGTAGTTATATCTCCACAACCCTGAAGGGAGTGTTCAGTTCTATATAACAAATTTTCTTGAGTCTTTTTAAACATGACGATTATCGTATGTTATGAAATAAGTGAATGACGTACATTAATACTAAACAAAGTGGAATGAATTGCATTGAATCCGGAGTTTTCGTTTCTGGTCATTTTTCCCAATTCAATACATAATGACAAGCACCATTTCCTGACACGAAAGCTTGAAAACGAACAACAACTAACACGGCGTCCTTCTATATCTAGAAAAACATTGAATACCCTACCCGCTATAAAATACGAATGATATACCTTTTGCAGAAGGGGGACTTATTACTCACAAACTTTTCAGCGTAAAATTACAAACCTTAGATTTCTTTTTCCCTGTCATGATAAGACCTTTACTACATGTTACCAGTCGAGTAAACATCACTTTAATATCGCTCTATCTACAAACACTCGGTTTTTTACACATATAGGGTTTTTTTCGTCTTCCATGAGTGCCTGGAAAGCGATAAAATTCATTATAGTTTATATGACAAAACTGTAAAGTGTTAACTTTACGCGGTACCACCGGTCTATTACACCCTCTTTGATCTTATTTCGACTTCCGCCTTATACGCGATATCTTTAAGAATATGTTATTTGAGTTCGGGACTTTTAGCTCCCTTTTTTGAATCAGATAGGTTTTCAACCAACTAGGTTTTCATAAAGTCCCTCTTATACCCGCTAATGAATGTTCCGACTAGTGGGTCTTTTCYTTGGCCTTCGAGTCCCAAGACCGACTTGCAGCCATGGGAATTGAATCGTCAACAAAAGAAATTTCCTGTAGAAAAGAACCTTTATAGAGTATTACTATACTATGGTATTACAGAGTGCTGAAGAATCTCTCTATAACTGTTGCTTGACTAAAAATAACTTTAGTTTTCCAAAATTCGACGAAAACAAATTGGACAAAAACAGTTATTTATTATTTATTCGCTATTGACTCGAACCTGGAAAGAAGAAAAACATAGTAATTATTATCATTTTGTGATGCTACTATCATACACGATAATATTATTAGTTACTAATGTTGAGAATCTCGAAAAAAGATTTAAAACATGAAACCGAACTAAGCTTGTTTGCCTTGACCAAACTAATGAAAAAAAAAATTAAAAATCTATAGAATTCTTTTTTGGTGTAATTCACAAGTAGGTTTCCGTAAGGAATGTTTGGTATTGAATGTCTTTATATGGTAAAACACTGAGAGTGGTAGAAAAACAACACTGAGTGGTAGAAAAGGACCCCGAGGGGAGGGTGGTAGAAAAGGACCCTGAGGGTGGTAGAAATCTGGCTCCATGCTGTGAATGGAGTATAGTTTAGTGACACTCCTTAAAATCTCACGATACAATGAACTAGCAAGACTTCAAAAATATACTACTGATAATTTTAATTAAGAAATCATAGTGCTTTTATCATGTAATATGTACAAACCAAACAGTATTTGTTGTAAAAAACACGTTATTTCTGTGCAGGGAATGTTCTGGATAGTGATAGGAAAGTACTTAGCACACCCTTGTTGCGTTTTTTTTCCTCATATTTTTAACTTCGATAGTACAATTTTTAATATAGAACTCACGATAGTTCAAAACAACATCTTAGAGATTTTCATTTGTGTCTCAACGTGCTTTTTCAGGTCAAATATTCTAGAAATTCATTAAAAAAGCGATTTGAAAAAAAGATTGTAAAACAGGTCATAACAAAAAAAGAACAGTCATATTGCGTTTATTGTATATCAGTCCGGTAAAAACTAGTGCTAAAACTCCTGAGCATTCCTTTCAAAAACATATGATTCTAAACTATAATGATTGGTTTCGATCACAAAAACGATAAACAGAAATAAACAACGATATATAGTGTGTTTTCAACGATATAGTGTGCGTTCAACGATATAGTGTGTGTTCAACGATATATAGTGTGTGTTCAACGACATAGTGTGCGTTCAACGATATATAGTGTGTGTTCAACGATATAGTGTTCGTTCAGACGGTTTTCTTGTCAATAGCCAGCAGCCCATCCTCCTTTTCTGGGGTCTGATTTCCCGAAAAGCAACCCGTCTTTGTCTTTAGCAGTGGCCTGTACAACAGCAAAACCACTTATCTTCCTTACATCATGACCAAGTCTTTCTAATCCATCGATGATTTCCTGGGAGATCGGATAGTCTCGGTCAACTCTGATATACATTGGCATCAGCTGATGGTGGATTCTGGGATCGGTGACCGATTGTGATAAAGTACGATTAAACCACAAGAAGTTCATGACAGACTGTTGACAAAACAATAGTTGATAACAACAGTTAACGTAGATGGATAGCAAGAAATATTGCAGTATAGACTCACCAATGATGTTGCTGTTGTTATTCTTGTCCCACCTGATGCTCCAGACACCATTCTTACTTCACCATTTTTATCGACAAATATTGATGGAGCCATAGATGACAATGGCCTTTTGCCAGGCATGACATAGTTAGCAGGAGATGGTAAAACGCCAAAAGCGTTCTTTTTGTTGGGAATTGAAAAATCATCCATTTCATTGTTCCACATAATTCCTGTTTTGGGACCACGGAATTTACTTCCAAAGCTATAAATGAAAATGAACTCATTTTAAAAACATTTTCGCTAAAASATTYCTTCYAACTACAACTAGAAAACTAAATTGGACTTACGTACATTTCGAGKGTCAACCGCAAATTTCTATAGAAATTAATAAGGGAGCCCCAAGATTTTTCAATTTTTAACTTTTTATAAAGACAGAAATATTCATATTTACAGCTCTTAATATCACATTTTGACCATCAACTTTTCTTGATTCTATTTTTGTTTGTTTACAAATCGATTTTAAGTTTCTTTTTAATGTTAATTTCCATATTCATTTTCATTATATACTTGTTCTTACAAGAGGTTTATGGTGGTAGTAGCTGATACAGCGTCGCCATTAGGCGCCATTAGTGACATGTGTGATGTTCCTCCACCTTGGGCTGAGTAGAAGTCTCCATAGTAACGATAATTCGTAAAAGTCATGTTGTCATAGATACGTTGACGTAGGGATTCACCGAAATTTGGATCGGTGATGTTTTTAAGAACCTACGAGAAAGATGGGTTTAGTAAACAGACTAGAAGAATAACCAATAAGTGCGTGAAGGGAAGGTCTTCATGTCACTCAGACAAGTATGAAAAAAAGCCAGAGAATCACAGAAAATAKATTGATGTATACATTCTCTTGCAAAAACAAAAAGAAAAGAAAAAAAGCATTAATTTAAATATGATTTATATACAGTCATTTGCAAAAACTCTGACGGGTAACATATATCATTATGTGTAAGGAATAATGATCGTCTCAGTAAAAATAACAATTTAAGCGATTATTAATAAATGGATCGCCCGAAAAAAATATCGTTTTCAATGGGAATCGAACCCATGACCTCTATGATGCCGGTGCCATGATGTTGGTTATTTTATTGGGTGAACCCATCCATACTTAGGAATAAATTATGAAATGATRGTACGAACTGCATCGGTAAATAATGTAAGGAATAATGATCATCAAAGTGAAATTATAGCAATTAATTTTTGACTACGAGTTGATGTCCATGAGACTCTACTCTGCCGAATGTTTTTGTACCWATAAGATTTTTTCGACAATTTTTGTTTTGGGTGCGGACATGGTCTATCAAAAATAGACCATAGTTCAGTAGCCAATCGTAATGCTGGATTTGTGAAAGTTTTGAGGATACTAAGTTTGTTTTAAAACTTACATGAGTTAAGTCAACAAAGTCAGGATCGCCAAGCAGCGCTCTGTAAGCATATGCAAACTTAAAAGCYTCGGTGATACGATGATATGTCAGAATGGAGCTATTGGTGTCTTTTCTTGATTCAGAATTCATATTGTAACCTAAAATAACGGAAAACGCGCAAGAATGAATACCATATTGGATTATAGAGCACTTGTATGGAGCAAGCTTATTTGCATCGAGTCACCTGGGAGGTTGGGATTCCTGTTTATACAACTGATATAGACAAACCTTTAAGTATGTTAAGAATCAATCCCAGCACACTGCCACTTCCAGGGGGAGGCATGGAATACCAATGATAGTCCCCTAGGGTCCCTACTAATGTCTTCCTGATCTTCACCGTATAATTCTTCATATCATCAAGCGTGATCAAACCTCCTGCTTCCTTTATTTCACTCACGATGTCTTTAGCAAGTTCACCAGTGTAAAAGTCTTCAGGATTTTCGCTTATACGTTCAAGTGTTCTTGCAAGCTTTGGCATCTTTATAACTTCTCCTTTTTGCTTCAATTGACCTGTTTCGTTGACCAGCAACTCTCTACAATTAAAGGTCGGAAATCAATTTTTCCCCATCAATTCCAAGGTTTTTTACCCCGGACTAACATCCTTGTCCAGCACTATAACTATATTTCACTAATTACAATCAAAATTAATTTGTAAACCAATAACGCGTCAAGCACTATTGTTGATGTCAAGCTGTGCGCACCGCATACTTTACGTGTGCAAACATAGGAAAACTGTTGGATTGCTTATTAGAGCATACTACCTTACCTCAAACCAGGATCGCTAAAAATGTACTGTTTAACCGATGACCTTGTCATGGCGTAATATACATTTTCTCCAATTTGCAGTCCGTTTTTTGTCAGGTCAATCGAAGGTTGAACAAGCTCTTTCCATGGCAACCGACCGTACTTTTTCCAAGCGGTAAGGAAGCCCCTTACCTCCCCTGGTACTCCAGAAGCTGCACCTCCTGATCAAAAATAGACAAAACGTCTAAAAATCAACGTTCATATGTCACTAACACTAGCCCTCATGGGTTACCTGTGGTCAAGACTGTTGAGTGTTTGATTGAGAAGGAGAAAATGGAAAAGAATCAAGAAACTTTTCTTGCTGAATATGTAACATAATATTTCGTTTTCTTTTATATCCTCCTTTATAAATCATTGSCTTTTTTCCAAAACGCTATCCAATTAATTTAACGTTTTTTTCCGTCTGAACCAAGAGAAGCTAAGAAAATCGGTCATTCAAAATATGTGTCTGTATCAAGTTACCAAAAGAAATTGTTACTGGTTACATACGCAGTCGTGAGTTTAACGTATTGTTACTGATTACATACCCACTCGTGAGTTTAACGTGCCATTAACAAACATGTCCTGGTGGGAAACTCCTGGAGCTTGTTCTCGGAAATCAAAAGTTTCAGTAAAATTATTAGAACGATTGTAGACAACTATAAAGCCACCTCCACCAATACCAGCGGAATGCATGTTCATGACACCAATACAAAATAGCGTAGCAATAGCTGCGTCCACTGCAGAACCCTTCTTTACACGCATTATATCTCGTCCGATTTCTGAACATTTTCCCGAGTCTGCGGCCACTACGGCTTCCCGGTACGGACCGTCTGCATTGGGTGGTGCGGTGGGTAGCGGGGGAGGAGAAGTAGGGGATGGTAACGTGGAAAGAAGAGGCGGCGATTTTGACGAGGTATCAGTTGTACTAGTTTTCTGAGTTGTCGACTTCTTAAGAGTAACCACAGTAACTACAACAGCAACAATTATAGCGACGACAACGACAGCAACGACAACGCCAATAATTATTGCTCTTCTGTTTGTTCTCCTAAAGATGAAAAATAAAATAATCCAATAAAATATCAGTATAATCCAGTGCTACTTCCCGTCTGTCCGTGAAATATAAGGAAGGGAAAGTTATAAGGATCAAGGAAGATTATTATAAGCCATGAGCTTTATTGAAGAGGCTCCTGTCATTTTTAGATTTAATTGATGCGTAAATGTATTGAAGACTAGTAAACCTTTTGGTGTAATCTTAAGCACTGTCATTGGGCTGCAGCGTGCCGACTCTTCAGCGACAATAGACCTCTGCAGCTTTTACGTCATGTACCGTATACGCAATGCATTGTAGGACATGTTTGGGACAAAACATGGCGGATTTCTTTTGTTTTCTCTTGAAACTGATCCCACAATGCATTGAAAATCAAGTAGTGACGTAAAAGGTTCAGAAGTCTATAACGAAAACGAAGGTGGAAGTCTTAAGAGAACGATGAAATCTTAATCAATGAATTAAAAAAATGAAATTTTCTGGTCTTTTTTATTTGCGAAATACATTATAGCTTTTTATCCTAGTAAAATTATATAACCATGATCCTTTGCACGTTATCTAAACCAAGCCAACTATGGCGAGTTCCAGATGTGAAGGTCTTTTATWTCTTGGGCTTTGTAGCGACCGAACTATATCAATTCCAGTCCAACTCTTTCTCTAGTTATTTTGGTGATCTATCCATGACCATCTCATGTCAGTGTATTAAATAAAACTTGAAAAGTTGGTTCAATCCTTAATAATTCACTAGGATCAAAATCGCCGAAAAAATCGTCAGTATAAAGTGTTGTTCCATATCAAACACGACAATATTCAGGTAACATACGACAACGAGAAGCAAACGAAAATATACGTGTAACATACGACAACGAGAAGCAAACRAAAATACATACGAATTGTTTATTCAAATATCACATCTTATAGCATTTTCATTCTCAGTTTACCAACGAAAGACCCGCAGCAGAATCTGGGTCGCGCTCTGATAGATGCATGCATACTTATAGCACATATGGACATTTCTTAAAAATAAATCAAATTCAGTCTCATCCGTCTCCAACTTGAGCCTTCGATTTTCCGTTGGGAAAACTGAGAAGGATCTGGGTACGAGAAAAATGTTTTTTTTTTTCTTACCAAAAAACAGAATGTCAAAATCCGGAAAGGCGCCAAGAAATGAACAAAATTTAGATTAAAAAAACCGGAAATAAAAGAGTCAGATTTATCATCAAAATCAAAGATATCTACATTCRTGGAAAATTGATATTTTCACTACTAAGTATAGAAGGTCAAAAGAATACGTCTACTACTATGTGATATACATGCAGCATGGTTTACAGTAGCAGCCCTCTGGGCCTGATTAAATGACGTTGGCTGTCCTGGTGAAACCAACGCTGATTTCTTTTGTTTTGTGCCCACTAGAAACACAAGAAACATATCCGTCGTTAAACCAGGCACCCACCGCTAGTCAAACTACACCTCATGCGCTATGATTATTTCAGATAATGTAAGTCTGGATTGCCAAGTTGCATGACCGACATACATTTTACTGCTGTAAATAGAACTTTTATTCTAATGAATCATAACAATCTCACTAAGCAAGGGGGCAGCTCTTTGARAAGTAGCAGCTAGCCCCTGTATGTATATAGGAAAGCCCATATGTATATAGGCCGCGACTGCTATTATAAGCACTATACTACATATGCATGTCAGATAGTATCACAAKTTGCTGACTGGTGATGGTGATTCACTCTCTTTGCCAACCAATGCGAATCTTACCTTCCAAATTTCARCACCTTTTCTTCTTTTTCTGCTGCTTGTGCATCYGCTACTTCCATGTCTGTCTTCCTGTAGAATCACAAAGAAATCCCAGCTTACTGCGTTGTAGTGTTTGACCTGCGTAGCGGCTCCTASGGGCGTGGGGAAGGGGAGAAAACGGAAGGGGAGGCAGGAAGGGGAGGGGKAGCGGAAAAAAGAGAGCCTGCTATAGAACGAGCCACTAAATCGTGTAACCAACTTCTCACAAAAATTTTTAAACGTGTTGACGTACCGAGCCGATAAGAGAAATGGTTCGTTACTTGTCACGTTGTTTGCCACCTTCGTTTAAACAATTTCGAGCTTTATTTCCGCTCCTCCCCACCCCCTCCCATTCCGTYYYCCCCCYCCCCCCCCCTCTCTTCCCTGGAGCCGCTACGCAGGCTATCCCTTACTRCGCTGTAGTGTTTGTTTAGCCAACTATGATATTATAAGTACACAGAAGCTTAGTGTCAGCGATTTTTATTTGGCTTATCAAATGCTTTACAAAAGTAGTAGTAATCTTGGTTAAAGAATTCAGACCMGTCAGTAGCTCAATAAAAGATAAACTTATAGATCGGAAAATTCCCAGACAGACTGAGTTGAACGCCTGACTGCGCAGGTTTAATATAATAAGTCTCAAGTCAAAGTCCAAGGTAACAACTTTCTGCCATGATTTATCCTAAAAATCTATCCTTGCGCAACTTTTGAAAAGATTAAATACATTTTTTGTAATCAATATGTCTATGTAGAGGGGTTATCGACTTCATCCAGATTTGTTCWCCGAGGACGTTGCGGGAGGGTTGAGTCAACTTTTGAAAGACGTAGCTCTGGTTTTGACGTATATTTCGGAATTTTTATTTTCTTTAAGTTTTAAAAATAAGGCTAACAATAACAACAGTAATCTCGGGATATTATTACCAATATTWGCTTGAAAGCGACCGCACTTTCCTGCCGAGACCGCGCACCGTGACGTTGATTTATTCCATATTAACTATGGCGCCAACATCAAGGTTTCATGTCGTGACTCGTTCCTTTGCAGCGTCCCTGACATCTGAGGCTGATAATAAATCATGGTTGCTTGTTTTGGCAAACGTTTGGTAAGCTTGGCCCAGTTGTTTTTATTTGTTCACCCCGGTGCTATTGAACTTATAGAGGAATCTTATTGGCTTCATTTTTAGCGATTTTACGTGCTTTCTAGAGTGCGGAGCGCAGCAAGCAGTTCGTTTTCAACCTTAAGCTACGAGGGTATGATTAGAAACCGATAATTAATGAAAGATTTGTTTGTATACAGTGTAGAAATGTAATCCAGCGAGCATAGTGTTTGCATAGTTTTATTGCGCAGGTCCCCGATATTACGATCTCCGACAACGCACACAACACTGCATACGTTTTCGCGCTCTCAAACAGCTAATGTTTTTCCTCGAGCTCTGCATGGCAACATTCTGATGATTCGTTTTTTTTAAATATATTCCTAGCAGTCTATTTGTTCTATTCACCTTATAATTTAATGCATATTTGTTCAAAATTGAAAGATGTCAATCCGTTTACAGACGAATCTCACACACAATGTTTAAAGGTGGGTGGCTATTAAGGTRACTCCCAACTAACGGCAAATGAAATTTGTCTCTTTTTTAACTCGCTCGCTCAGTATCGAAAATGCACGTATAGTTATGTCTTCGGCAGACGTACACCATCAGAAGGGCTACTCATTCAACTAGTACATGTGTAAAAATCAGAACTATACAGGCATTTTGATGCGGAGAGAGCGAGGTAAATAAGYGACATTTCAAACACAATTGGGAGTAACCTTAAGTTGGAGTTTACTTCACTTTACAGCCCAAATCTGCAGACTTAAGCTTAGTAAGTTTAAAAAAACAACGCTTTCGTCAATTAGTTACTGAGTGTATATGTTACAGTAATGAAGTATATTTTTTGTTAAAGGAACATTTAACTCCATTCTCTCTGCACTAAAAGCCTGCTATAATCTATTAGCACGTCTTATAATTTACCTTTGTTTTCCAATTCAATGATCAGCAATTTGTGTCAAAGTGTCGATCGTACGGAGCTTAATCAGGTAATTACAACAATACTGAGAATATAGTCAATAAAAGTCAGCCGGCGTCAGTCTAGCTACTTGCCCACAAGACTGTTGTACAAAGTCTACTTTTACTGAAAGACACCTTACTTCAGATCGACGCAAACGCCGGCATGTCGGATTGATTATACATGTTTACGCATGGATTACCACTGGTAAACTCCTTTAAAATCAATTATTAAGTGCATAATCAGAACTTTCTAATGATAATAATCTATTTTAGGGCAACCAATCACAACGTGCGCGAATATAACACGGCTCCGTATTTGACTGTAAGTTTACTACATTGCCTTTCACTTCGCACGCTGTACATCTTTCTCCCGCGGGATCTTTCTTCACCTTTGTCTGAACTTCTCCAATGTTTTTTTTTTAAGCTCATATTGCTCTACCCTGCGATCAGAGGAATTTTTCTACTATCTATTTTTCTTTTTCTTCGTAGAAGGGGGTGGAAAAATCCTCTGTTCGCAGGGTAAGTAGCTCTCGCTAAATACCTTGCTTACATTCAAAACTACAATTCAAACTAAGAATGCGGATAGAACTGGCTATTATTGSGCTCAGGAGAATTCAATCCGTTATTGGTTAATCCTTCTCCGACCTCGACCCCTCCCCCGTACACCCACAGACAATGTTGGTGGCGGCAATGTTTGTGCATGGAAATAGGCTTTCTTTCGAGCGCAACTTTTCAAATGGAGGTTCCCGGGGGGGGATTGTCTTTGAGTTTTAGTAGATATACATATACTGTCCAATGTATTTTGTCTATGATTGTATGTTTTACATCAAATTCAAAAATGGTTAATTCCCAAAAGTTATTAACTGCTGGTATTGGATCATGAAACAGTTTAGGGAGAGATAAAATCATGTCTTGATATAACCACACCCAATACCCGGTGCAAACCAGAATTAACCGATTTCACCAATGTTAACAACTCCGGCTTTTCTCGGCTCTTAGAGACAAATAAACAGATCATTTTCTTGGATACTTAGGGATGGGCCGCTAGGTGAGGCAGTCAAATGTGTTTGATGGGAGTGGTTAGAGAGCACTAAATCCATGAACTGTACAAGTGTCTAACGGCGTCTTAAAGGGACAATACTGAATAGTAACAAAAGTCCCTGTCTTATGATATTCATAAATTGCGCGCACAGTTTTGAGTTTGTGTCCTTTTATTGACACTATCTTGGCGCCAAAAAAAACCGCCAAAACTCAAATGAATGGACGCGCACGAGCGTTGGTACACTCAGTAGGAGCGAAGGTGCTCAAAATCACTCCGAGACACACTTTTACGCTCAGATTACTTAACTTAAAATAGTCAATTTTATAACCTTACATGGAGAGATTTCTGAAATTATTTACAGTTTTCAGTGGTTTTCAAAGGCATTATTTCGAACTTACATTGAACCTAATTAATTAATAGAGTGATCGCACTTAAACCGTGCAACTGTACAAACTAATTAGTGCTATTTAGTTGTATTTAGTAAATCGTGCATGCGGTACGCGAGTTAAAGTGAATTGATAAATGAAGCTTTTAATACCGTCCCTCTTCAGGTCCACTTTTAGTAAAAAATAGTAATACCTAGATTTTGTACAGTTGCACGCTTTAATTGCGATCACTCTACGGTCGTTCGATCGACTTTTAGCCATTCGTCTGATAATGAGAAAACTTGGACTAGTGCATCTTTCTCGCGTGCCGATTGTCTGATTAGAGTGTGCCAGTACACTAATATATATATATTAATGTTGACGTCAATGTTCTTAATTATCAGCACAATATATTACGGATCAATTGCTTTCTCTCTACCGTGAAGCTGGCTATATKCTTGAATTGATAAGTGGCACGAGGATCGGACTGATGATTCTTGTTTAAACCGGGGAAACGACAATGAGTCTAGATGCCCAGCAGCCGATATCATGCAGTCATTTTTCTCGCAAAAACTAATAAAACACTAAACTATACATTGAATGCATCGAACCGTTTTATATTTATTRAGAAATGCCAAACGCTTGACGTGAGCTCAAAAGATTTGAATTTCAGCAAATTCTTTGAGGTCGGCACAGAATACGAAACACTGTTCAGGCCCGATTCATATCTCGTGTCGCGTCTATGTCATTGATTCATACGTCGAACCAAATGCAATCATCTGCTTACACTCAAAATATACATAATATATAGTAAAATATAGTAAAATATAGTAAGGTCGAGTAAAACAAATAGTTCAAGGTCCACTCAGTGAACACCTACCTAAGTGGCATAGTACTTTCTTCCATGTTGCAGCGATCGTTCGAGGGCTATATTCCCAGTCTTCTACAGTGTTTCTATTACTAGTACAGGGGTTGGACCATCAACGAATTTCTACACCAGAACTCTGACAATCAACAAATATTGATATAATTGACTGGTATCTCTAAGTGACAGTTTTAAGTTAACGTTAATTGAACTGATAGWGTACAGTTTTAATATTTCAGGAACAAACTGAGATGTTCTTTTGAACTACAGTATATGTCTGATTATGGCTGTACTTGTAGAGAACACKGTTGAACGCTCTTTTTTATGTACCATAATATCATAGAAATGTAATCCTGGACTGGACTGGATCACGAAAACAAACGGAATTATYATGGAATAGCTTCCGTGTACTCGCACGACTGATCGTTGGAGTATAATAACTGACGTTTGTGAATTCGCAAGGAACAATTTCTCGATCAGTTTACATGGATCAACGCCGTTTGATTGACGTCTACTAAATTCATGTTTTACGATTCCATTTTGTTGAACAATTTTATAAAACGCTTACAATACTTAGAATAAAATAATATCAAAAATTCGTGTCACACAACGGTTGTATTATCACATTAGTTACGTGATTGCAGGGAAAGTGTATCCAGTTTCGTCTAAATGCCTCAGACGAAGACAACATTACGAGCAATGTTTGGTACCAGTTTTCCTTCGAGACAATTAGTAGACAAAATTAGATTACCTTTCTTATTGCCATGGTTCAATGTTCACTCATAATTCGATGTGACCATTTTCTGGCACATTTGACCTGGTTGTTAGAGCTGGCAGAATGTAAGTYAAAATGTAATTGTAAAAGAGGCTGACCGCTAGAGCACTCACCAGACCTGAATACACCACCAGTATAGGCGAACAGGTCGTAACTGACGTTCTACTTTACTTAGTCAGATGAAAGTACAKTAACATGGTTTACCTTCATAATAAAAGGAAATAATGCAGCTGGAATATTTTTTTCGAGCCATTCAAAAATACTATCAGAATTGAAACAAATCATGCAATCAATGCCAAGTATTCGCGCGTACCTCCCATTTCTAATTCAGTACTGTTCACGGTACAAACACCGGCTGTCATTGAACTGGAAAAGAACATGMAACACGGTGTTATGTATGTTGCGACACATAATCCGAGAAAATCCACTACATGGAAGACCCCAATCGTTTCTTGGCGAGTTTTCGATGCTGATGGCTTCGGAACTCCTGTACTCAAGGCAACATATTATTTTTTCGCTCTTATCAATATTCTAGACACTAACATAAAATGCCAGTTGATGAAAGGTTTCAATGTTTTATTACTCCATCTTAATGGGTTTGGTGGAATCACACCTATGTAYGCCGTTGACCATGTGCAGCGGTATTCTCATCACCATTCCACCGACTACTTTGTATATATTTTTTGTTGATCATGTTTTTGATTATTCTCAATCAAAACAACGCATGAGAAAGATAAATAAATAATAATCGAAAATGAACCAATCAAGGTAGCACGGCAAGTATTATTTAAGAACGCTATTTTCAAACATCCCCCTACTACTAAACTACAAAGAATAGAAGGGTTCTACGCATGCGTGACGAGAAACCACTGACAACAAATAGTAGCTCTAGTGAACTACAGCCGTTGTCAAACCGTTGACTGGTTTGCTGACAGAATTGGATGTCTTCAAGGACATCTTTTCAAAATTTTGCCGTAGTTTGACACGCAGTTCTTGACGTTGTACAGCTACACTTTTGTGGTTTTCTTTGAAGTGGAGAATGTCTTGTTCTGAGATACCGCTATCCTCCTCGGAAGAACAGCATTCCTGTACGGCAAACAATAACCTTTACTATATAATGTTAAAAATATCTACGTTTTAAAAAAGGCGCGTAACGTTAGTCTTGTCTCTCTTAACACGATAGCACAGCGTTATCAAGGGAGCCTGGTAAGCACAATCTCTTACCTCTAAACAACGATCTCCACTTGCCCAACCCATAGACTGTAACAGCTTCATTTCTTCATCATCCATCCCTTCAAAGTCATTACTTTGCCTATTTTGAAAAGCATCATCCTAAAGAAAAGAGAGAAATTCACTAAAGTAACACTCGAAGATAACATATACACGCTAATGTAGTACCCTGCATATATCAATCAACTTTACCGAAAAATATTATCAATGATAGAAATGAGAAAACAATAGAAATAGAAATAGAAACTTTAGTCATCTCTCGCAGCCATTATGTGGCCCGTTCCAAGGTCTCTCCTCCTAGAGACCTGGAAACGATCTTCATATCGGCTGCGAGAGTAGCCTCCTAAGCAGCCGCCGGAGTAGCGTTGCGTGACGACACAGGGGAGGCTGCTAAAGGATAGCGTTGCGTGACGACACAGGGGAGGCTGCTAAAGGATAGGAGAGTAAAAGAGAACTTTGACCGAGAGTATTTTGACACAGTGGAGAGTTTGCGAAAATCTTAGTCTAACATCATAGCTATTTATTTACCTTATCCTCAATTTTAACTCCTTTTTTCTTTTTCTTTTTTCCTTTCTTCTTCTTTCCACCATTACTCCTATTTGAGCTAGCAGACAAGCAATCTGAACAAAACTCTTCTTCATCTCTCCGACTGATACGACGTGACTGATCAACCGATGTACCGTTCCGGTTTTCTTTTTCACTTGGCCACGGTTTTCCAACGTAGCCACAATCGCCATTCTTGCGAGCTGACCATGAACTCTGTCGCCACCTTTTTGCACATTGCATATCTTCACAGCTACACGGTGTATCTACACTGTCTCGGTCATCGTCATCTTCACAGCTTCCTTCGAGTCCATTTACATCTATGTCTTCAAAACTACCGTCTCTGCTGCTAGGTTCGTCGTCTTTGCTCTCACAGGGTTTACGTTGTTCTTCTTCAAGCGCAAGCACAACCTCGCGATTACTATATTTACACTTTTCGATTCTTTTTGCCTTCTTTTTTCGACGTTTTTCTTCACGTTTGAGTTCTTTGAGTTTTTCTGCAACTGATATCTCTTCTACTACTTGTTCTAGACGTGATATACCGAGTTTGTTTTCTATGGCAACCTAAAAGCACAAAACAAACAGCTTTAACCCACTACATATCACAAATACATTTTCACAATTATAAACGCRTGCAAATAGTACTTATGTGGCATATATTGAGTGCTAAAGGTAGAAAACAAAGACTTTCACAACATTATCACTCCATAAACACAAGGACGTACAATAACAATTACTGGCTATGTTACTTTGTGCAAACTTTGATTTAACATGCAGACAAAAAAGAAAAAGAGGAAAATATACATGTTTTTTTCTGAAAGTTAATGAAAGCTTGGCCAGCCAAAACTGAATGCATTTTAAATTCGTGTTCTCCTTTTTCTAATCAAAAAAAAAAAAAAAAATCAAATGACAAAAGTTGTTTAAACATGACACAGTTGTAAATGCGCACACTGCTACATGCGGAGAATATCAGTTAAAGAATGAGGCTTAGGAATGCCTATATAAACACTCCCATATCAGAAAATGTTGAATAATAAATACAGTGATATTGTATTCAAAGACCGCAATGCATTGTTGCAAGTAAACAATTGAAGTCCACTAAAGTTCTTGACTGTACGGATCTAGTATGATCATTCTGAAACAGCGAAAACTCCTTTTAAACTGCGATATAACCACCAACAATGCATTTTGGTCTTTAAATACACTATTCCATATCAGTTATGAATGTTTTCAGCTGTATATACCTCAAAGCTWTTTCTCAATGCATCAACACCAAGGTAAAAAAGCATTTGCCACGTTTGCTCCTCGGCTCGTAGTTTTTGCCAAAGTCTGTGAAGTCGCTCCCATAGATGAGTACCAAGACAAGTAAGAACCTGACAAACAAACCAAAAAATATAATAAACAAGATTTTACACTTGTTGTACAACACAAGTCATATATTGTTACACACCTCTTCCTGTGCAATATCTAAAGTCTTCGCATGTCTTTCTCTTCTGCAAGGAAACAATCAGTAAGGAGAGATAAGAGAACTCTGTCATTGACAGAATGGGTGGTGTTTCTAATCCCACACTGGCMAACCCTCTAATAAAGTAAAATGACAGACATACCCTCCAGCTACTTCTGGTTCAGCTCGTCCAATAAGGTGTGCAATAAAATCCGTATCACATTTGACATGAATGTGTCGTTCTTGAGGACAACTTCTTAAACCATCGTACAAAGATGAACAAAATCTAAGAATTAAAGTTACAAGAAATATAATTTAATATATAATGCAATCCTGAATGAAATTTTAGGAAAATGAGCAAAAAGACATTGGGAAAAAATAAATAAGTCTTTTAACAGCTTGATGTTGATTCATGCAGTGAAAAACTCAGTCTTTTGAATAGACAGCAGCTTTGGTCTGCAATCCAGGCTTCCATTCTAGTAATTACAATATATGTATGCAACTTTTAGATGCCTTTGTTCAGTCTATATCAATATTCCTCGTGTAAAACATTGTATTTGCTGTCCATACCCTTTCTCACTTGGGCCATCCAAATCACCAGCTAAAATACTGTATGCTCTTAACACTTTTGACTTGCACTCTGAACAAAACCTGCAAATATGATATGAATTTGACATAAATGGTGAATTCTAGTGTATTCAACACATAGCCATTTGCATTATTACTTATAAACTATTCAAATGTTCACAGTTCTTGAAAGTTGCCTTATCGTTGAAGCAAGACAACCAGTGAGTTTGCAGTGATTAAGGCTTAACTATGGACTAATTTATCATTTGCTGGGAACTACATATCATTGCAGYCCCATAGGGTCATTAGATGCAAAGGCATCTTGAGGCTTGAKGTCATTCACATTATACATCATTGCATTTGGTCAATCTGAAAATAGTCTTCTGCTCATACACTGCAGATTTCATATCATAGATTATATGAGTGGGATTATTTAACCAAGTCCAGTACCAGTATCAATATCCTATCAAATGTAGCTTAATTGAAGCAAGGTACCTGTGTTTTCTAAGATAGTGTTCCAAGGTGTCTAGCAATGAGTCTGAATCAATCAGCACAACCTAAGATAAAGAATCAAATTATAAATAACAAAATACTATAATGAACTGTTTAACTTAGGTTAACATTACCTCATCCCGGCATTCTTGTGAAAGGAGATCCCAGACATCCATCCAACTTCTAAAAACAAATTATTGATCATTRGTCAAAGAAATGAGAATAGGATAATAAATAAATACATGGAAACAAAAAGCTGTGCTTGTAATTGTTTTATCATAGACTATGATTATGGCAAGATTTTTAAAATTATCTATGGTGAACATGTGATGGAATAGTCACAACACATCTCTYGCTTACAAGAAATCTTCACTAAATAAGAATTACTTTCATTACATAACACTCTAAGTAAAAGATGTGTGGAGATATGATATCATTCTTACCCTGAAGGTCGAGACTTGTGTGTCTCTAGTGAATGTAAAGGACATCTCCTACAAAAAAATTGACATTACAAATTACATCATGAGACAATACAGTTTTATACAAAAAATGGGCTTCTCTGTAGTCCATTCTGTCACCGGTTTGTCATATAGATGTTTGATGTGTGAATATGAGTTAATCAGTCTTTCTCAAGGCTTACTAAATAGATCAATTACCTGTTTCGTCGACTTTTGGGAATTGCATCAACCAGTTCATTTAATTTTGACCTGCATAAACCAAATATCCATTACTTAAAAAAGAACAGTCATTACTGCATTGTATAATTATTGCACTGTATAATGTCACATGCATTACCTACCCATGAACATAAAACAGCGCATATATTAACTTTGGATCATGAAGAAAGATATCACTGACAGACAGCACTGAAAAAAAACACTGATTATTAATACAATTTATACACAGGTACAAAACACTGACACATGTTAAGAGTAAATGTATTTTTGTATACTTGAAAGTTTTGTGATCATTTGTGCTTTTATGAAAATAAAATATTGATTATTTTATATTATGGATACCACTAATACTGGTATGGCTATTTACTAAATAGAACATACTTCCTGAGTTACAAATGATAAGAGGCTCAAGTGCTCGTTGACCAGATTTCATAAGTTGGTTATATAACCTTTCCACACTGAAATAAATGATAATGATAATAAATTAAATACTTGAAAGCTATGGTTTCACCAGAATCACGTATTTAATTGAGTTTATATTTTATGTTATATGTTGTGTTGACAAATGTAACTAATGTAATAATAACAAAATCTAAAGAATAAAAATACAAACAAATAAATGTTCTTTTGATAACAAAATTACTAAATTTAAAAATATAAACTAAAGATTSAATACTGCAATAACAACAACTTTAATTCAAACACAACTTAATATTGCTATAGATTGTAAGTTTTAAAATAATGCATTTAAATAAATGATAATTTATAGGACTCATATATCTAAACAGGTTGGATGAGTAACACATTCAATAATTGATAACATAAATATCAACATAGTGACATTCATCTTGATCTAAAATCCTACCTCCTTCGACATCCCACACATGGTACAGCATGTGAAAGSACTGAAAACACTTCATTTTGACGCACATTTAGAGCGCATACGAGCTCGTCACTATCGAGACATTGGTACCTCTGAAATAATAAGTAAATGGCTAATGTCAATGCCTCGCCGTGATTTCTTCTAAACAAACCCGGCAAAAAAATCATTATTACTGAAGGAGAAATTCATTGATTTGGTGATTCAGACACAATGTTTTACTAACATGCACAAAGGCCCAATTACCTATGGCATATTGTATTGGTTCAATTAATAKTGGCGCCTAAAATGAAACTGATTTTAATAGTGTCAGAGAGAAGCCTTTGATTTTCGTGTCTAATTTTATCTTGTCTCAAATAGTTGTAAAACAGTGATCTAAAGATTACAAAAGTGCCAAGAGCTCGAGCTTTACCTTTAAGAAATCTTGGATTTGATTTTCACAAACATAGCGAGTTGTAATCACGTTCTCTGGAATTTCCATCACCATCTAAACAAAAAATACATAACGTTCTTATCTTAAACATTATATTATTCCACTATAATCCCGATCGTAGACACAAAGATGGGTATTTAGATCTGCACCATATAGATCCTAAAAAAMCAATTACCGTTAAAGTTTCCTCTATCACCAGGGGAATCTGGTGTCTTTCGAAGGCGAAATCCATTTCATCTCGACACACTGCTACCAGTTTCGCCATCTTTGTAAACGAATAGATTCAATATATCAAACTTAAAGGAAGACAGAAACAGGCCTAGGATCATGAAATTTCCATAAATATTCTTCTTGGCCAAGAAAGATTTGCGGAATTATTTTTTCTTAGCCAATAATTCCAGTAAACAGACAACTTCCCTTCCTTCTCGTCCTCCTTCACTTTCCCTTGATATGTCACTACGCATGACAAGTTCCCATGAACCTTTCCTACCCATAGTTCATTGCGAATATTTTCGAGATACATTTTTTAATGTATTATGATATTAAAATATCATAGGAAAAAGAGGTCCATATTCAAAGCAAATGTTTTTTTACTGAACAAACCTATCTATGAATATTTTTCTCAATTCCGTTGCAGTAGATCTTTGTGTGGTTATCCTTATCCTCAAGCAACTTCGGAGAAGTTTCGATAYATCTCCGTAATGTTGTCGTTACCCCGACAAAAACACGAACTATATGCCTAAAAATAGACAAAATATCGACAAAATATATTTAGCGCGCGTTGCGAGATAAATCACGGAGTTTTTCTGTTTTTTTGAATTTCAGTTTCTAATATTTTCAATGTTTTATCAAAACTGAAGGTATTAAGTGCAGGGAAAAAAGTGCGATGAATTTAATAATCATTTTGTTTACGTGATTTCTGAAACATGGCGACTGACAAAGGCGGCAAAACGACATGGAAATCTTTTCTGTTTGCACACGAAGATGTGGACATTTTTAGAGACACTTCAATCCGTTATCTAGGTGATTAAATTGACAATTCCTTTTGTTTTAGCATTACATAATTTTCATTTTCCTTTGTGTAAGTCTACACTTGGAGTCATCCCCATTTGGGCCATTTTATAAAATGTAGGTCGAGGCATAGCCGAAATAGATATGGTATTATGACCTAGATCAGTTTTGCTGTCACTGCAGTTTGTTATCCTTTTATAGCTTTTCCAGGAACATATAGTGCAGGACATGACGTGTTCTCACCTGTGCTAAGATGGAGTATTTCTCTATAAATAAGATCTTGTATCTTTACGTACATTACCAGGCATTGCTTCCCCTYTTCCCCGATACAATGTAACAGGTTCAGGTCATCACTTAACAAGAGGCAATTAACACTGAATCGAAAGAAGGGAGGTCAAAGACATGGGAGCAGCGAAATGTACTCTTTAACTTTAATATACCAATTCAGTTCATTTTGCTACAACAGTTTTGCCCAAATTGTTTCTCTAAGACCTCTAGGGAGCTGCTATTTATATAATACTATATTTCCTTTCACTGATAGGATATGCAAATGAAGTTGGAGAAGCATTTAAGACCCATATTCCCAGGTCAATATACTATGGTAGCTATGTTGTATCTTCATCATACTGCTTGGCGGATGCGATAAGTAAAGGCCGTCAAGTCTACAGAGTAAGATATTTTTATATTTTTAGTTTTTGTCCAGTGAGAGAAACTGATTCTTTTTATTAAATGCACCAGTATTTCAAAATACCATTGTTAGCTGATATACTGTTGTATATGTAGGAAGGTGAAGGTCACATCCAGTCTAGTGTGCTAAGAAGACGTACTGTTGAAACAACGATAGAAGCTGGTGTATGGCAAGGACTAGCTTCTGTTGTCATCCCAGGTTTTACAATTAACAGGATTTGTGTGTCATCAAGATTTATATTGAAGAGAGTGGCCAGGACAATGCCAGTGACAACTCAGACATGGATTACAACTCTGGTTGGTTTATCTATGATTCCAGTAATCATTAAACCAATAGATAGGTACGCAAGGCCATACTCATGTTAAATTCTACAGACATTTTTCTATCAGACTTGTCCTAAAAGATAGACATGTGCCAGCCTGTGATCTGATTGCTTTTTTTATCAACTCACTTTCACCCAAAAAAGACCAGTTTCATCCAAAGTGAAAAAAAAATCTATTGCATTGTCAGAGTGTTTTTTTATTGTTTGTCCAACTCTGGTTTCCCAAATTTATTTTTCAACTTGAGATATGCAWTTTTGCCATTAAGTTTGATAAAGATTGTAGCATGCATGTGTTTACAGTAGGCCCATGTGAGTCACTTTTCAAAGTCATTTGAGTTGTTCTGGATCCCAATGACCTGCATATAACAACTAATAGATAAACATATGCACAGAAATACACTATACTGTCTCTCTTTGCAGGTCAACATAAATTTAATTTGTATWTTATTTCTCACTCAGGGGAGTTGACTATCTGATGGAAGGAACACTTAACATGTTACGTGAAATGGGTGTTGTGTCCAAGCATACTGATGTTGATTGACAATTATTTTTTTTTATTGACTTGTAATTTTTAATTGACTTATTTATTTTTCAATCAAAATCAGTCTACCAYAATAATTATTACTTCTACATAAATTATTGCTATTGATCATTATTATGGCTATCAGAAAAAGTGTATTTTGAAGCATTTTGTTTGGAGCTTTATATTTTTAAATCCAGAAAGACTAATAATATAAGCTTTATAATGTTTAGCTTTTTGTGGAAAAAAAATTTGAGGAAAAATGCTTTTTGAGCTAAAATGATAATTCAGAAATTATTGTAACTGTCAAATATAATTTTTACATCAACTCAAGATATTAAATTTAATATTTGTTAATGTAGCCTTGTTTTTCTTTTCTTTAGTAGTTCTTTTGTTTGACTAGCTGCAAGGGATTCGTAGGTTTTTGCCTTTTGTTATCTTCTGTTTTATGACATAWAGCAGAGTTGTAAAGTTTCCAAGGAAGAGAACGAAAAAGGTAACTCCTGTAGCCATCACCTAGAGAGATAAATGCAATGTTCATCATGTTGTTATGAAAATTGACTGGTCTTAAAAATAGAGGCCCTTGAAATAAAAGAGTTGCACCCCTAAYGTGACTTTGGATTTCTATTCCAGCAAAACAATTTAGTGCCATAGTTACCTTTTTCAAGATAGGATCCCTGTCCCATTGAAAATTTTATACCAATAACTTGGTTCATGATATAACAAATATTWAAGCCAGGGCTACATTTCAAGATAACACAGAAAACTGTAGATCAAATGGGACTAGTAATACCTGCCACTCTCTACAATCTTGATGAGTTGCCAAGACAAAAAGAACGTACGCATTGTACAGCTGGAATAACTATCAAAAAACAACAATATTCATCAATGTTTTTCAGAAAAAACTGAAAGAAGAGTTGATATGTTGATACATACATATCCAGCAAGAAGGAACGGCAGAACAAATCCTATCCCTCTCCACATCCAGTTTTGAAAACCATCTGAGTGTACAAATACAAACATGACTGAATCAATAACATTCCAGCCCCCTGCTAGTCTCCTCGCAGCCGTTCTTAGCCGTTTGTGGGGCGGGGGACAGGGAGCCCGCCACTAAGAACGGCTGCGAGGAGACTAGCCCCCTGCTTGCAAGGGGTAAAAACATTAAATGACTTACAATTATTATTTATAATATATATAGACTTCAATAGAGTGATTGCACTATGACCATGAAATAAAATCCTAAGAGTTACTAACTAATAGTTAGTTTAGGGACTATTAGTGACTATCATTCAACTGGAACAGTCGTAGTAACAACAAATTCTGTGTACAATTGGGAATCAAATACAAAGGAAACAAAACCTCAATTTGCTCTTTTTGCTCTAAATTTTATCACACAGTATAATGTTGTTTGGGCAAATCAACACACCATATGCCAGCTAATACAAAATGCRCTTTCCTAGAATACTGGACCAAAAAGCAATAGTAGTTAATAGTCTTACCCACAGTAACATCCATAGTTTTGCTAATTCCAAGTGCTCTTAGTCTGTATAGTACCCCACTTTGGTATTGGTACTGGACTAACTGGACAAAACCTAATAACATAATTACCATACAGTGTTTATAACCTATGATCAAAAGGTATTGCTGGTTTAAACTTTGGGTTGGCAAGCATGTGTTGTACTGAGTGAAGATCAACAAAAACCTTCCAAGTATTAAGTAAAATATACGTATAAAAACAATATATTTATATTACAGCCCTTTGCAAAAATTATGAGAATTGTCTAAATATCTAAATATCATAATATCCATATCCATATATTGTCCGGAACACGCGGGTTTGCTAGAATAATTCATTGTTGACATCGAGAAAATGTTCAGAACTACGGATATGTAAGTCGCCAAAAACAAAACTAAACTACAAAGACAAGGGACTAAGGGCATCGCACGGGATTACACATCATGCACTCGATATTATGATATTTAGATCATTTTTGCAAAAGGCTGTATATAATGTAATATTCGACTTACTTAAATATAGTGAAAAAGAGAAGAAATAACCTCTGAACATCTGGTACATTTTCCCCTCAGGCCTGGATTTATAGACCAACATATTAGAACTGGAATACAACGATCATAATTGTAATATGTAATAATGACAATAACTTACCATATTAGAAGAAAACCAGACAGCAGAATAGAAACATAGTGGTGAAGTACCCACCATCCTTTTATCCTTCAAAAAATCAAGTATACATCATGAAGTCTTGATCGGCAGTGTTACATAATAATATTCAAACAAGTGATATTGAATTAAAACAGGTCATATTTAGACAAGCACTATCAGTGAAACAAAGATCAAAGTTAGTGTTACCAACCTTGAGCCATTAGCTATTAGAATGTGTTCCTGTAGTGTAAGTGTACTATAATACCAGACTAGAACCCCATGAAACAAACTATCTGTTAACCTAAAATACAAGGTATTTTAAACATTCCATTCTTTCTTCTTCAGATATTTT